TTGCACGGTGGTAGTGTTGAGTGCCAGGTGAAGTAAAAATGATATATATTCGCAAAGTCCCTACAAAAAGTTCTGGTCGTGAAGCCTACTTTAATATTAAAAAATACTATCGTCTCTACTTTAGAAAGTCTGTGGAAAATAGCATCGCCGAGCTCTTACAAATGCGGCCTGTGAAGCTTATATTAGTAATATTACTATTAATATCGTCTTTACTTCGAAAAGTGTGTGGAAAATAACATCTTAGAGCTCTTACCAAATACTGGTCTGTGAAGTCTACATAATAATGATAAATATCTCTATTTGAGAAGTGTGCAGAGCTCTTAGAAAATAAAGTAGTTAGTGTGCCCGATTTGCAGTACATACGACAGGTTTTGCGCAATAATCAAGTATCTGCGCAGCTCGCCTGGCCGTTTGCATCCAATCGATGCGTTTCGTGCTCGGCAGAAATGTTTACCTTACGTCCAATCGCGAGGGCGATAGACGGTCTGATCGTGCGACAGATCCAGTCAGTGTCGCAGGTCAGCAGGTATTGACCAATCAGGGCGCGAGTTAATTGTGTAACGCTTTTGGATATATTTGTAATTTTAGCATAGTTAGGTCGAGTCAGAAAGGTAGGCGCGGTCGGTAGGATAGGAGGAAACTGTATAAGACAGGCCGCATGTAGCCATGCGAAAAGGCAGGAAAAAGCAGCAAGACGGGGAATGCGACGGACTGACGGACGGACAGACCGACAGGTTACAAGGTTAGAAGCGGGGAGATAAACTGGTGAAGTCGATCGACATACTCGTTTTCTGAGCGTAACGTCAGTCCCACCGGTCCGGATTGGAGTCCGAAATCTCTGTTTATCCGTGATATGACGTCCACAGAGTCAATCATCCGGAATGCCACCTCGCCGCTAAAACTCTGTGTGGGGCATTGACTAGTGTACAAGAAACAATTCGGAAAGTTTGGAGCTGACAAGAAACGTGCAAATGCTCGCCACGTGATCGAAGTCGAGTCGTACTTGTAGCTCCATACACGTGCTGTTGTGCTGCCTTTTCTGGCTTCCTCTTTGGTAGACGCAAACACTGAATAGTTCCACGATGTATCAAAACTTACCACTTCGTCTGGCTGCAGTGATGGGTACACATCTTGAAGATTCGACACGCCCACACCGGAGCGTAAGACGTCGGCGAAAACGAGAGCTAGCGACACAGCTCCGATGAAGAACCGCAGCCACGAGAACGGGAGATGGCGCTCGAACACTTTGTCACGCGCAGCGAGTTGTCGGGCATGAGTCTTCTCAATGAGAGCAGCTGGAGTAATCACTTCTTCCAGCTCAACGAGTGCTTCTCTGCATGACGTGAAGCCACTGGATAAGCCATCAGCGCGCGAGTACCATCTCCACGAGTCGGAGTTACCCGAACGGGGGCCATCACGAGACTGAATATTAAAATAAAACATGCACAAAAGAGTCTACTTGGACACTTGATAATTTTAGCTCACCTCGAGATTGTCGCTTGTCCGTTTCAAGCCGGAACAAACGAGATATTATTGCTACAGTACCCCCGTCTCCATCCAGCGTCTTATCTTTTAAGAGTGCGTTGTTTTTCGGCGTGCACAACAATCTTTTCATCTCGCGACAGACCCTTGCGCTTACGTACCGCTTCGATGTATCGTCTCACGTAGTTGTGTTCGTAGACGCGTTCGCCAAAGTCCTCTCGCTCCAACTCTGTCTGCGGCTGGAAGAACGGGTCCATGTCGATGATACTCCAGTGTGAGAAGATGAGTTGTGGGTTACTAGCAGCTCCTGACGTCTGGATCAACAGGTCGGTGGCAAAGCCGAAGCTTTCCACGACTGGCAAGTGAGCTTTCACAGTGAATAGCGCTGTCCCATCGGACAACTCTTCCGAGTAGATATCGCCTCGTCGCTTCGAGATGACACTGTACAACTTGCCGAGCTGCTCGGCTTGACACTGCACTGTGCACTCATACACGGCCTCTACTAACCGCACAGGCTGCTTCACAAAGGACATGAGGCAAGTGGTCCGCATAGTGGAGATTACCTGTCCGCTAAGCGGTCCGTACTTGCTCGCCTCTTCATCTGACACATCGTCGCTTTTCTCATGGAAAACGACGTCTTCAACGATGAACGCGACGCCCCATACCGGTTCATCACACAAAGGTCCAGCCGAGGAGGCCATCTGGAAGCCCGTCACGATGCTGTTCTCCAGTTTCCGGATCTGCTCTGCTTTCTCTGAGTCTTCAACTTGTGTTGCGTTCGACGGGAATAGGCAGCCAGTCGAATGGTATCCTGGAATGTTGTTGATTAACATGTTCGGACCTACTCGTCGAGGGCCACAGCTCCAAATCTGGTGCATTGGTAGCGACTTTAACAAGCTGTGGTCACTCAATTGGAGCGATTTCTCCAATTTCTTCTGGAAAGCCGAGATATCCTGTGCAGCAGCTTCCAATTCCACGTCGGATTCCTTGGTTTCTGTCTCGTCTGTGGATTTCTTGGTGTGTGTGATACGTTTCAACAGTGGCGCATTTTCTTCCAATAGCTTTGCAGTGTCAAGAGGCAATGGAAGTGCACGCAGCTTTAGAGTCAGCGTGCCATCCGGAGTTGTTCCCAACGCACGTTTCGGATCTTGCGTATCAGCGTAGTGCTCGTCTTTATCAAGAGCGTCCTCCTTGCTTGTATCGGGATTGAGAAGGTCTTTGAACACGATGTGCTCCTGGAACGAAGAGATCGTTCCGTTCACGATACTTTCCCGAAACCCCACCAAAGGCTCAGAGACTTGCACTGCGACTTTTGCAAAGCGATCCTTCAAATCCTTGATACATCGTTCCAAGTGAAACTCTCCCAGTGCAACAATAACATGTTCGCCAGTCTCCTGCACGTGGACTTCGACGGTAGGGTCAGATCGATACAAACGCTGTAGACCAGCTTCCAGAGCGCCAAAGTGGCGCGGATCTTCAGGTTCCACGGCCACACGGACAATCGGCTTGGCTTGATACGGCATCTTCGTCAACGAAGGACACGCCAGGGTTGACGACAACGTCGCCGTCTTCAAAACATGTTCCTGAAGACCGACAATACCGATGATATTACCAGCAGGAACACGATCCAGCTTGTGTAGATCACGTCCCATCATCATGTACGGCTTCACCACCCCGCTGTCAATACGTGTGACGTGTTTCACCGTATTCAAGTCCACTGTATCCACATCCACGTCTCCAGATACGCCTTGGAACTTGGGATCCATCACATACACCGGCTGGCCTTCTCGAAGCACACCAGAGTACACCCGACCCACGCCGACATAGACCTCGTCTGTAGCAGCCAGTCCGGACTGGTGATAATCCGATAACACATTGGCCTCCACTGAAATGACCTTGCAAATGTAAATAACAAGCGGCGCATCATCCGAAGTCTGACAGGATTGCAAAGACCGGAAGACTTGAAGCGATTTGTCGGACGAGATCGTACACAACTTGTCGGCGCGTTTTACTTGAGCAGCCACTGGACTCGGTAGAACGCGCGTCACCATCTTTAACACGGTCGTAGACAACGGCAGCCACTTCCTCATCACCGCTTGAGTCGCGTTCTTCCGGTCCGTCTGCTTCAGATCACGATCCGAAACCAGCTTGGCAATCCGAAGTTGTCGTGTGAGTTTCCGTAACACGTCCAAGTCCGCATCCGACTGCACCGGCTTCGTCATCGTCGTATACGTCGTCCAGATCAAGTCGAGAATGAACGAACAGAACATCGTCTGGCTACTAGACGTGGGCGGTTTGCTCACGATCTTCTTGCTCTTGTGGTTGTAGTAGTACTCGCCCCACAATGCTTGGCGCATCACACGTACAGGCAGCTCTAATTTCTTCGCATACAAAGCTGCAAAGTATCCGATACCAAAGGCCCAGCCGTCGGTAGCACTAGCAAAGATAACGTTACTGTTCGATGGAGAGAACAGCATTTCGTTCTCTAATTGCTCCGTCTCGTTGGAAATCACCTCGTCATCGGTGTCTGCATCGATTGTACCGTTCTCGTCTCCAATAGAAGCCTCTTGGTCGTACTTCTCGAGTACATCCATCCTGATCATGGAGCTCAGTACTGCGTTGGCCTGTTCTAAGATGCGATTGAGTCTCTGATAAGCTTCTATGGGCGAGAATTGCAGCTCGAAGATCAGACGATCCATCTTGTTAATAACTAGACATGGACGGATGCCTTCCTTCCAAGCTTGACGGATAACAGCGTGTGTTTGCGCGCATACTCCTTCTACTGCGTCAATAAGCACCAAGGCGCCGTCACAGAGTCGAACTGCAGTGGATACATCGAAGGAAAAGTCCACATGGCCTGGAGAGTCCACGAGATTGATGAGATACGGCGCTTCCGGGTCTTTGTCGGCTGTAAGCTCGGGTTCGTACACTAAGGAGATAGCGCTGGACTTCATGGTGATGCCACGCACTTGTTCCTCCTCCGTGTTGTCCAGATATCGCACCTGTTACCACATGGGTACATTTTAGGGGTACACTTGGGATACAGTTTACACTTTCGCTTACCTTGCCAGCCAGTCGCTCCGAGATGATGCCGTTGGCAGACACGAGGCTGTCACTGAGCGTCGTCTTGCCGTGGTCCACATGCGCGAGGATGCAGATGTTGCGGATGCGCTCGGGTGCGTGCTGCAACGCGCCCAGCAGCTCCGGTGTTACACGGGTTGCCATGCTTTTGGGATGCGGAATCGAAAATGATTGGTGGGAATAATACTGAAAGATTGAAATGGTGTGAGGTACATAAAGTGCTTTCATTTTTGTGAGTGAGGGTCGCTGAAGTGTCCTACAGAAAAATGTGTAAAAATGTTCTAAATTCTCATTAGATTAAGCTGGTTTGGCATTGGAAAATTATTGTACATTTTTACAGAATAAGCAAGCGACTAAATCACGGTGCCACACAGCTTAAAAAAATCGGCATCATATAACCGGAAGAAAAATGAAGAGCGTAACAACGTTTTCAGACTAGCAACCCCTCTATTTATCAATTGAAACTCTGCGAATTATCACATGGCTCACGAATATCTTGTTTGGATAGCACTTCGAGACACAATCGCTTCATCATCGGCGAGACAATGGCCACCTCATCAGTGCCTCTTATTCTTACCACAACTCCCATATGGAGCAAGCGATCTGGATTCCTTGCGTTGACACTGTCCTTTCCCTCAAGCACCTGTTCAAGAATCCACCACTCGGTGTCATCCAGCTTGTATAGATCTTGAAGAATACGATAATAGCTTCGATTGTACTCTTTCAGGTACATGGGAAACAGCAATCCAGAGAACCACTTCTCCCATGCTTCGAGCTCAAGATGATATTTACCTTCATCAGCCGTGAATCGAACAAGTGATCCCAGCACACCGGGCACCCCACCGGAAAGGTCCATGATTCCCACCACAAGTGAGGCTGTAAATGGATAACGCGGCTTCATCTCCATAAAGAAGTCACTCATCTGAAGAATTGATAATTTTTCAGCTTTAATCGTTTCAGAAACATTGAAGGGGCTTGAGTCATCATCGCCGCGATACACCATGTTATGATTTAGCAGCTCGTAATTTCCAACCCCAAGAAATCCCAGGAAGACGCTCGGCGATTGAAATTTCCACATCCGAAGAAGTCCCAGGAAGCTGGTTAACAAATCGGGGTTCTGAAACAAACGATCCATTTCATCCACGATCAGACACAACTTCTTTTTCTCGCGACCTGCGTACGTTGTAACTTGCATCAACAGCGAAGTCGAATCATGACACTCGCTTTCCGCGTCAACCATTTTCCCTAAGTAGCTCCAGAACCTGACGGCGTTACGTGCCATCTCTTTAGAAACTTCGAAATACACGGATATGATGTTCGGATGTCCGCAAAACAACATTTCAATGCCGCGAGCAATCGTGCTTTCCCGAATTGACGAGGGCCATATAGCATATAAATTGGACGATCATTTCCTGAAAAGCCATGTCGAATTCGTTTAAAAGCTTCGATAGTGTCCAAAGGAACGGAGTAGTCGTCTTCCCCCAGTGGTCCAGTGAATGTAATGTATTTCTGGATCTTCTGTTTCTTGGATAAAGGCTCATCCTGCTTGGAGTCGTTCATCTCCGCAGATCGTTGACCCAGCGCACAAGGCCGGTTTTTCTTCACCTTTACCAAAATGTGAATTTGATTAGAAGAAGGTTGACCCATTCTGTTCTCCGTAAATAACCATTCTTTAAAGTCTTCGTCGCCTCTACAGCTTTCCCACTAGTCACGTCCAGAATCGAGTTAGGAATTCTCCCACTTCCGAGTTCCTCTGAGACCTCGCTCTCAGCTTCCAACCACTTTCCGTCACTCGTCTTGGCCACGAAAAGCTGCACCTCCCTCTCGTCAACGTCCTTCGAGCTCTTTGGGTGTGCATCTAGAATCGCCTTCTTTAACTTGCCCACTGAGACGCCCTCGTCCAGTTTCACCATGAACGTACTGTCCGCCTCTCCAACGATCACACAAAAAAACACCAGCATCTTGTGGCAGAATCGTAAATGATTTCTTAAACCAAAATTCATTGTAAAGTTGATAACTTTTTTAAAATTGATTTGTATCGACAGGTATCATCGATTTTATTGGAAGCTTACAATTTGACATTGGCCTATTTTGAATGCAGTAATAATTTGTTGGATGTTTATCGGAATCGACCCGAGACTATCGTCACAAGACAAAGAACGTATACAGACAACGACGGTGAAACTCAACCCCCCACAAAAACTCGACCCCCCTTACAGTGCAACTTTAAACTCAAGTAAAAATGTTATTTGTAATTTTAGCCAATAATATACTTTCAAATATATTGCTGGACAGCACGCCATGCTGGCGCCGTTTAAACAATCACGCTATAGCTGTTTCTGCGAAGTGATGGACGAACGTCGTCGGCAGAACAGCTACACCGTCAAGCAGAGACGGGAAGCGCTCGAGCGGGTGGCTCTGGAGGGATGTAAGTCTACCGCTCGGGTGCTTAATATTCCATTAGGTACGTTGAAGGGCTGGAGAAAGAAGGCAAAGCTGCTGTTTGAGTTTAAGGGACCTCAAACTAGCAGAACGACAAAAGGACAAGGCGCAAAGACTAAAATCACATTTGAGCACGAATTGGTCACCTTCATGAAAGACGTCCGTCGGGATGAAGAGGTAAATTTGTTTTGTTATATTATTTATTGCAGATTCTAACGTGTATATATAGTATTGTAGGCATGATCGAGTATATGAAGATGGAGCAGGGGGCTTGGCTGGAGCAGTATTTAGCCGATAAACCATCTCCTGAGCGCGCATTGAGCGCGTTGATGCGTATGTGCCAGCGATTTGCAGCTCGGTAAGCATCTCGTTTTCCAATATGTTAGTTTAATCAAACGGTTTAGCAATTATCCTATTTTATGTGTGTTTATAATCAATATGTATTGCTTACATATTTTTCTTAATGTTATAGCCATGGTTTTTCTGTTTAGAAACCGCAATTTACTAAAAAGGATGAAGATGCACTACAGAAATCCATTTGAACTTTGCCATAGAGTTTTGGAAACAGCATTCTCACTTCCAGCAATCCGCCATATACAATGTCGACGAGACAGCAATATATTTTGACACCCCACCCCACAAGATTTGGGCCCTCAAAGGCCGTCGTGGCTCCGCTAAAGTGAAGCACACGCAGAAAAACTCTGGTAGACTCACTGCAGTTCTCACCATTAGAGCGGATGGTAAGTTTTGTTTATTGATTTAATGATTTTATTATGTTTAAACTAACTTATTTATATTTTAGGGAAAAAACTACCAATACTGTTTATACTACGAGGAATGCCGGGCGGGACTGTGGAGACGGATGAACTTCCGACGTATCCTGCAGGCCACGTGTACACCGTCCAAGAAAATGGCTGGATGGACGCCACAGTGTGGCAAACGTACGTTTTGAACTTGCTAAAGTACGAGATTGATGCCCCGTCAATCCTCTTGCTGGACAATTTTGACTCGCATATTTCCGAAGCCGGTCAGAGCGTTGTGGCGGAAAAGACCTCTGCAATTGTGGTCCCCGTGCCTGCTAACAGCACCTCTGTGAGTCAGCCCCTTGACGTGGGCGTTATGGGGCCACTCAAGAAAAAGTTGACAGCTGAATGGCTACGAGAGAAGGTGGCAGTTACAAGAACCGCGAAGGAAAAGCGTCTGGCTGCCGTAACACGCACAATTAGAGCGTGGGAAAACATATCTACGGAATGTGTTATTAAAAGCTTTGAAAAAGCAATCCCAAAACACCCTGTAAGCTACATATCGGTGGGTACTTTCTCGGATTGCTGCTTCCGATTTTGAAATCGGGAAAGCGCGATTGCAACCAGCACACGATGTCGACATGGCAATTTTCAATAGCTTCGTCAATTGCGAGCGGTGCACGTGACTCAGGGCAATTCGCGTACAGCCACTTAACAGTGGCAAAGCTGCCATGGTTTGCTGCCTGGCGCATCACTTCTTTATCGCACTCCTCCGCCCAATTTGAGTGCAGCCATTGCACGACTTCGAGATGATTATTATTTGCGGCCCAAATCAGTGCACTTTTGGTGATCGCTTTTGGGTAATAGATATGAAGCCATTTTAGCACTTCCAGATGTCCATGCAGTGCAGCGGTATTTAGGGATTCGGCGGAGACTTTTTGTTTGACATTGGCTTGGACCCACTTGAGTGTCTCCAAATTGCCATTTCTCGCAGCCCAGTATGTTGCATTATCTTCGCGATACCAATCAATGTCATATTCACGGTTTGGCTTGTGAACAGTTACCCTCGCGCGATTCAAAATCATTGGGTCCAAATCATGCAAATAACGTAACATCTTCAAATGTCCATCGCTGATCAGTCAAGATACTACCCAGGCTGGAGTTTTGTACACGCGTCCTTCTGGCCAAAAATGTCGAAGTAGCCATTTCACTGAAGCCAAGTTATTCTTCTTGACAGCTTTCGTCATAGCGACTTCGTATCCATCAGTCCAACCTTGTTTGTAACGAAACTGTATCACGAGAGCGTGGTCGTGTTCGCCAGCAATCTTAAGGAGGGAAACACCTTCTTGTGATCTCATTTCGTATGCTTCACCCCCCAGCGGGTGCTTAGCAAACCACTGAAGGATCGGAAGGTCCCCACGCGCACATGCATTGCTCAACGCGATACGCCACCTGTCTAACCAGATATCTTGGCGTTCTGGCAGTGGGGAATGCAGTAGCACAATCTGTTGAATGAGCTCCAAAGGACCTTGAGTAGCCAATGCTGGTAGAGCTGACGCAGCACGTTCACTGTCTCGTGCCATATACCCACCATCCAGTAATAATTCGAGAGCTTTCACGTGTGAACTACCTGTTGCAAAGTCTAACATGCACTGGACCAGGGGGACTAATGATTGTGCAAGCTTCAAGTCACCAATTTCCAGCGCACACTGAAGAGCGTAGATCCGATCAGCATCACCAAGACCATCCAGACACTGCCGTATCTGGCCATTCTCGACAGCTTTCTGCATTACTTCATATCCCCACTCAATATCGTTTCCACTATTCGTTAATTTTACAGTGCACTTCGTGTGATGTCGTTCAGTTTGGTTTGTTTCTCTATGCTGCCACAAATATTGCAGCACAACGAGATGCCCTTGGGCTTTAATGCAATCAGCCCGGTCGATAGGGACTGTGCAATTCGAAAATGACCAAACAGCCACTTCACAACGGACAAGTCGCCTCGAGAAGCAGCGGCAATTAGCGAGCTGGCAAACTGCCAGCGATGGTTATGCAGATCGGAACGAAGAAAGTTTACAAGTGACCAATTGCTGGTCCTCTCGGCAGCAGAACTGGGACTCACGCTCCAAATCCAGTCGAGAACGTCAATCGACCCAAAGTAACAGGCTTCGTCAAATGGCAAACAGCCTGAAGGACCAAGAAATCTGGAATAAATGTGAGCGCTTTACTCCAGCGCCCACACAGCTGGACATCGATGCAGCGAGAGCTTCACAGCTAGTATTTGGTTGCTATAGAAGAAAAAGAAATAAATTACGACAAATAAATCAATCGACTCGACATACAGAAAACGATTTGATGGATCGCCCTCATTGGCAAAAACTGTGAAGGATAGGATGTATTCCTCTATGTCCACAACTACCGAGCACTGCAGCTATTTTTCCGGCTTGTTAGGACTACGATCGTGAATGGGGAGTTGCAATGCGCAGCTTTTGTCGGATTCATAACGTTTTTCCTTTGCAAATTTTAATACCAAAATCGGCAAGCCGCTTGGGGACGAAAGATCGAAATGATGGCCGTGCCATCATTTTAATGCACACACAAGGGGTTTTCCGTACATATACAGACAACGACGGTGAAACTCAACCCCCCGTAGACATGCATTTTCAAGTCATTTTTAGAAAGGCCAACAAGACAAAAAAAACTCGACTTCTTTCGTGGTATCACCTGCGATTGGTCAAAATTAAAACGACCCAACAGTTTATTAAAAATCGAAAAAACAATTTAAACAAACACCGTTGAAAAGCAAAAACATGTATTATTTTGCTCTACACCATCACGACCTCGTCATCTTTTTTCGAAGCACTACTCTATCTTCACACTCAGCACAAATACGTGTTTACATCAAAGTTTCAAAGAAAGCTCCGAGCGCATCTGTCATGTTTTTCATGTTGGAATCTTAAACAAGTATCGAATTGGTTGGATGAAAATTACCCTGCTAACGCCTAGCTCGTGGAATCAATACTTCCATTTTATTTGAAATTACAGAAGCTAAATACTTTGCTTGTCTGAAAAATAATCCACTAGAAGACTGCTGACTGTACGTGCTTGTCCTTCTTGGATAGACCAGCCTCAGGAGCCGCATCGTACGGTGAGAAGTAAGGTTGTGCTGCCGTACCGCTCCCTGTTGCACCGTTCTGCGTCTGTTGCGTCTCCTTTGAGAACTTGAACGCGGTTCGTGTCGGCGGTGGCGAAGGAGGCTGGAAAACCTTTGACTGCGGGTGGTCATGAGGCGTCGTAGGCTGACTCAGAGTCGGCAGGGACGTCTGTCTCCCGACAATACCGGAACTCGATTTCGGTCACTCGGAAACGTTCGCTGAGCCCCCAGATCGGTTCGTATTCCCTCCGTTCAGCACCTTCTCGATCGTCTTGGAAGCTTGATGCCATTTCTTAGTGATCTTGACGTTCTCCATCGTCCGCATGATGGGATCTCGCTGGATCTTGGTCTGAATGGCGAGCTGTTTACGACGCGTCACGAGCGATTCCTTCTCGTTCAGCATGTGCTGCGTACGTGCCTCCGTGTCCTCTAGTCTCCGCAGCATCTCCAGTCGTTGATACTCTTGCACCCGCTTCATCCGCTCCACCTTATCCGCCTTGAGTTGTGCCTGCAGCTTCCGGTACTCACTCCGCAGAGCTCGTTGCTGTTCCTGGCTTCTCTGCACTTGTTGCACATTGCGCTCGGTTTCCCGTTGACGTTCCAGCAGCTCTTGTCTCCTCCGAGCTTCTTCTCGTCGAGTCTCCTCCAGCACCAACTGCCGTTTCTTCTCCAACGCCAACTGCTGCTGTGTCTGCAGCTCTCGTGAACGTTGCTCCTCTTCCTCATGAGCTCGTCGAACCGCCTCACTAGCAGCTTGTTTACGTTGAATCTCTCGCTTTCGTTGCGCCTCCAACTTCTTCGACGCACGAAGATTCTTTTGGATCCGTTGCGTCACTTCCCGACGTCTTGCATCCATCGCCGTCGCCCGTTCGGCTCTCTGCAGCTCCACCATTTCCTCACGAGCTTTCTCGGCCAAGTCGAGCTCCTTGAGTCTTGTCTGGATCTCCGTCTGCTGAGCTCGAAGTAGAGCTTCGGTCTGAGCTCGGTGCTCTTCCGCCTTTATCTTTCGCTCTTCCTCTCGCTCTCTGGCTTCCAGGCGACGTACTTTATCTTGTCGAGCCTTTTCTTCGGCCAGCGCGCGGTCGCGAGCAGCCAACTGTGTAGCCATCTCCTTGCGTCGCTCTTCTTCGGCATCCAGTTGCGCTTTCTTCTTGATCTCTCGAGCTCGTTTCTCGGCTGCCAACTCCTGCGCGAAGCGTACACGAGAACGCTCCATGGCTTCGTGCTGTCGCTTCTCGCGCTCCATCTTGTCGGCTGCTTCTTGTTGCAGTCGGTTCATCTTCATCTCGAACTCGAGCATTTGTTCCAGCTCGCGTTCTTGTCGTTGTCGGACTTTTTCGAGTCGTTGTCGCTCGATATTCAGCAGGGACGAGGAATTCTTCGTGGCCGACGAGCTCGAGGAGCTTGACGTTAGCCCGTTGGCACTATGAGAACCTCGTTTGGGGCCTGAAATGGCTACAAGACGCGACGGGATGACGCCGCCTCAATCCTCCGCCTCGAGCAGCTTCCACTTTTCAGCTCGTAGAGTCTGCATCTCCTCGTGTCTGCGTAGTGAATACGCTCCGTGGCGCATACGCTGTACGGCAGTCGTGACGTCTGGATCTAAAAGGAATCCAAGTCGCGGATTTTGAGGGTTTCCGGATTCACTCCACAGCGTAAACAAGCTTCTGCTGATCGAGGTGTCAGTATGATACGCTCTGGAGGAGGATTGAGCCCCGACGACCGAGCATTGCTCAGCGTTGCAAACACTTCTTCAATTGCCTGAGCTCCCGGTCCACGTCGCTTTCGGACCTTCGTCTTCTTGGGCTCTTTATCGTCCTGTTTGCGGTCTCCAGTGGTACTTTCTTCAAGATCTAAGTGCATCTTGCTCGTGTTTGTAGTGTCGTGGTTGGCTTTAGAGCGCACCTCCACGGATGCCATCGTAATACTCACGTTGTAATCGTCTTCTGGCAAGAAGTTGATGGCTTAAATAACCTCCTTCAACTACATGAATAGCTTTTTATAGGCAACGAAAATGGCTGCAGCAACATCTGTAAATGGCTACACATGCATTTAAGTAGGTGAAAAAAATTGCATTTCTTTTTACTCTCTCTTGCTTGCATACTACTCTCTCTTGCTTGCATACATGCCTAGCATACAAAGTGCTGCGAAGTATTAATAGTGACGTTTTAGCAGGATGGCACTCGAGTTACTTGCTGTTCCTTGTGGAAAATAGGCACAGCGCGCACTACCCGACCCACAGCTTGCGTTTTCCCTTCACGTAGTACTAGTGGCAAGTCTGGACGGATATATTCCGGCCAGTACATGAACTCGAAGCGGCACATTGTAGTAGCAGGCTGCAGTTTGGTTGGACTGGAGCTAGTCAGTCGCACGATCTTGGCCATTTGTCGTACTTGACCTGTATGAATTACGGCCTCGAAGTTCTCGCGAAACGCGCGTGCATCCGGTAAAAAGTGCAACTCGGCGTCAAATTGACGTGTAGCCATCGGTCGAACACTCGGATGTACGAGCATGGTGCCTTTTCTGAGACGATAGAGAGGCGGAGCAGTGGCCAGAAAGCGAATCAGCACAGCTCCAGTCTCACCAGCGCTTAGACTTTGTGCTGCCTTGTGTTGCACTTCAATGCTCTCGACTGCTACCTCGCAAAACTGACCATCAGCATCAGGTCCGAGCAGCATCTGCTCCCCCACGCACAGCGTGCCAGCATGGACAAGTCCAGTCACAGTGGTGCCTGCATCTTCAATATCGTACGCTTGAGTAACCTGGAACTCCGCTGGCGTCTTGGCTTTAGTAGCCCACAAGCGCTCCGGCTCCAGCATGGCCAGATACGCTTGCAACACGTCCAGACCAATGCCGTCTACGTTCGAGATCTGGAAAACCGGTACTGTACTAAGTTTCAAAGGGTCGTCCTGTAATGTATCCATGTTTGTTGGCGCCAAAAGAAGTCGTTGACAAGGACAAAACGCCTTCAGGAGGTCTGCGACCTCGACGAGACACTGCTGTATCCGCTCGTCCGTCACGAGATCCGTCTTGGTTACTACCACGAAGATGGCTACATTAAGTGCAGTAGCGATTTTGAGATGTTCACGTGTCATGTCTCGGACGCCACGGACAGCGTCGACCACAAGCATGGCATAGTCTGGGAACTGTCCTGCCAGTCCTGACGCTGTACTCTTCAGGTATTTCTTGTGTCCTGCTAGGTCACTTAGAGTGATAAAGCTTTCCTGTTGTTTTCTGGGCTTTTCCGTCTCTGTATCTTCGTCATTGTCGCCAAAGTTGCAAGTGGGGAGCTCAGTACAACGGAAGTGTCCATCTGCAGCCACAGCGATCGTGTGCTCGCTGACACTAGAAGTGCACCCATTTTCAAGCTCGTGACGATGGCGACACACCTGCATCCTGGCTAGACCAGCTCCGTCGTCCAGACATCCGCGTGTCAGTACCCCCACCAGCGTTGACTTGCCGCTCTCAAAATCTCCGATCAAAGATACTCGAAGTCTCTTAGTGGCGTTGTGTTGCAGCACCCTCGTGACCTGGATCCTGACTGCCTTGTGGCTAGCATCACGTCCCGCACGGAATCTTGACAGCGACATCTCTGCATTAACCACACGGCACATGCTAATGTCCGTAATAGGCAAGTATTAGTATATGGCTACATTGGCCACTTCAACGTTTTGTAGCCATGTGAAGATGAGTACACACTCCCTACCGCGCTAGTGTCCCCAGGGAGCGCAGCATGACGTCCTCTGCGAGGCCTAGTACCTCTCCATTTTCCTTTACACCAACCTCGTAGAAGGCGGTACCTCTGCCTTCGTTAAGACGCCAATGCATCTGTGTTGTCAGTTGGCGTAGACGGTCGGGTGACGGCTCCAGCAGTTGCTGCTTATACTCGACGTTGCCCTTCTCCACCTCGTCGGGTAGGCGCTCGAATCTCTCAAGGGGAGCTGGGGAGGCGTATTCGGCGTGTACCTGGCGGCGCAAGGCCACCAGCCCGACGTCCGCAAGTGTTGCCATGTTGGCAAGTGCGAGAGCGAGACGCAACTGCTCGAGCGTGCATCGCAAAACGGCAAAACTACTTTTTCTACAGGGTATCTAATAATACAGGTAGCAATATCAAGGTAGAAACAAAGATTGTCATTAGTTTTAAAAGGATATAAGATGTAAGAGGAGCTCACTTTTTATTCAATCTATTTATCGTGACCAACACTCATAGAATCTGTTGACGAAGTTTCTTGTGTGACAGAAGACGAAGACAGACACCAAAAGAATCAGCGGAGCTGTGCTAAAATAAAACCGTGGCCAAAACTCCAAGGGCAAGTTTGACGGAAATGACCCTAAAGTTAAACGTGTTTTTTAACCGGAATGTTAAAATCAGCTTACATGTTTTCAAGAACAGGAAGTCGCTGGGTCACAATATGATGAAATGTAAGTCATATCGATAGTATCTGCCACCAACAAGATGTCATCACGCGGACGATGAAGAACGTCAAGATCACCAAGAAATGGCACCAAGCCTCCAAGACGATCGAGAAGGTGCCTAATGTAGCGAATACAACCCGATCTGGAACGTTTCCGACTCTGAGTCAGCCTACGACACCTCATGATCACCCGCAGTCAATAGTTTACAACCCCCTTCGCCACCGCCAACACGAACCGCTTTCAATTTACGCAAGAGACGCAGAATAGTACGCCAGCACAGCACCGTGCGAGAGACTGGCATGTCAAAGATAGGTACGCACGGACAGTCAGCAATGTTCTACTTCAAGTAGCAGATAGATTTCTGGTATTTTCAAGGCAAGCAAAGTATTTAGCTTCTGTAATTTCAAATAAAATGGAAGTATTGATTCCACCAGCTAGGCGTTAGCAGGGTAATTTTCATCCAACCAATTTGATACTTGTTTAAGATTCCAGCATGAAAAACATGACAGATGCGCTCGGAGCCCTTTACGAAACTTCGATGTAAACACGTACTTGTGCTGAGTGTGAAGATAAAGTAATGCTTCGAAAAAAGATGGCGAGAAGCTTCATATCGGCGGGTACTTTCTCCGATTTTGAAATCGGGAAAGCGCAATTGCAACCAGCACACGATGTCGACATGGCAATTTTCAATAGCTTCGTCAATTGCGAGCGGTGTACGTGACTCAGGGCAATTCGCGTACAGCCACTTAACAGTGGCAAAGCTGCCATGGTTTGCTGCCTGGCGCATCACTTCTTTATCGCACTCCTCCGCCCAATTTGAGTGCAGCCATTGCACGACTTCGAGATGATTGTATTTTGCGGCCCAAATCAGTGCACTTTTGGTGTTCGTTTTTGGGTAATAGATATGAAGCCATTTAAGCACTTTCAGATGTCCATGCTGTGCAGCGGTATTTAGGGATTCGGCGGAGACTTTTTGTTTGACATTGGCTTGGACCCACTTGAGTGTCTCCAAATTGCCACTTCTCGCAGCCCAGTATGTTGCATTATCTTCGCGATACCAATCAATGTCATGTTCACGGTTTGGCTTGTGAATAGTTCCCCTCGCGCGATTCAAAATCATTGGGTCCAAATTATGCAAATAACGAATCATCTTCAAGTGTCCATCGCTGATCAGTCGAGATACTACCCAGGCTGGAGTTTTGTACACGCGTCCTTCTGGCCAAAAATGTCGAAGTAGCCATTTCACTGAAGCCAAGTTATTCTTCTTGACAGCTTTCGTCATAGCGACTTCGTATCCATCAGTCCAACCTTGTTCGTAACGAAACTGTATCACGAGAGCATGGTCGTGTTCGGCAGCAATCTTAAGGAGGGAAACACCTTCTTGTGATCTCATTTCGTATGCTTCACCCCCCAGCGGGTGCTTAGCAAACCACTGAAGGATCGGAAGGTCCCCACGCGCACATGCATTGCTCAACGCGATACGCCACCTGTCTAACCAGATATCTTGGCGTTCTGGCAGTGGGGAATGCAGTAGCACAATCTGTTGAATGAGCTCCAAAGGACCTTGAGTAGCCAATGCTGGTAGAGCTGACGCAGCAAGTTCACTGTCTCGTGCCATATACCCACCATCCAGTAATAATTCGAGAGCTTTCACGTGTGAACTACCTGTTGCAAAGTCTAACATGCACTGGTCTGGGGAGACTAATGATTGTGCAAGCTTCAAGTCACCAATTTCCAGCGCACACCGAAGAGCGGAGATCCGATCGGCGTCACCAAGACCATCCAGACACTGCCGTATCTGGCCATTCTCGACAGCTTTCTGCATTACTTCATATCCCCACTCAATATCGTTTCCACTATTCGTTAATTTTACAGTGCACTTCGTGTGATGTCGTTCAGTTTGGTTTGTTTCTCTATGCTGCCACAAATATTGCAGCACAACGAGATGCCCTTGGGCTTTAATGCAATCAGCCCGGTCGATAGGGACTGTGCAATTCGAAAAATGATCAAACAGCCACTTCACAACGGACAAGTCGCCTCGAGAAGCAGCGGCAATTAGCGAGCTGGCAAACTGCCAGCGATGGTTATGCAGATCGGAACGAAGGAAATTTACAAGTGACCAATTGCTGGTCCTCTCGGCAGCAGAACTGGGACTCACGCTCCAAATCCAGTCGAGAACGTCAATCGACCCAAAGTAACAGGCTTCGTCAAATGGCAAACAGCCTGAAGGACCAAGAAATCTGGAGATAATGTGAGCGCTTTACTCCAGCGCCCACACAGCTGGACATCGATGCAGCGAGAGCTTCACAGCTAGTATTTGGTTGCTATACAAGAAGAAGAAATAAATTACGACAAAAAAATGAGTAGACTCGACGTACAGAAAACGATTTGATGGATCGCCCTCATTGGCAAAAACTGTGAAGGATAGGATGTATTCCTCTATGTCCACAACTACCGAGCACTGCAGCTATTTTCCCGGCTTGTTAGGACTACGATCGAGCACACTCCGTTGCAATGCGCAGTATTTGTCGGATTCATAACGTTTTTCCTTTGCAAATTTTAAGGCCAAAATCCTAAAATCGCTATCTCGCGGCAAGCCGCTTGGGGACGAAAGATCGAAATGATGGCCGTGCCATCCTTTTAATGCACACACAATGTTTTCCGTACATACATACGTTCTTTGTCTTATGACGATAGTCTCGGGTCGATTCCGATAAACATAAGCTTCCAATAAAATCGATGATACCTGTCGATACAAATCAATTTTGAAAAAGTTATAAACTTTGCAATAAATGTTGGCTTAAGAAATCATTTCAGATTCTGCCATTAGATGCTGGTGTTTTTTTGTGTGATCGTTGGAGAGGCGGACAGTACGTTCATGGTGAAACTGGACGAGGGCGTCTCAGTGGGCAAGTTAAAGAAGGCGATTCTAGATGCGCACCCAAAGAGCTTGAAGGACGTTGGCGAGAGGGAGGTGCAACTTTTTGTGGCTAAGACGAGTGATGGAAAGTGGTTGGAAGCTGAGAGCGAGGTCTCAGAGGATGGGAGAATTCCCAACTCGATTCTGTACGTGACTAGTGGGAAAGCTGTAGAGGCGACGAAGACTTTAAAGAACTGGTTATTTACGGAGAACAGAATGGGTCAACCTTCTTCTAATCAAATTCACATTTTGGTGAAGGTGAAGAAAAACCGGCCTTGTGCGCTGAGTCAACGATTTGCGGAGATGAATGACTCCAAGCAGGATGAGCCTTTATCCAAGAAACAGAAGATCCAGAAATACATTACATCCACTAGACCACTGAGGGAAGACGACTACTCCGTTCCTTTGGACACTATCGAGGCTTTTAAACGAATTCGACATGGCTTTTCAGGAAATGATCGTCCAATTTATATGCTATATGGCCCTCATCAATTCGGGAAAAGCACAATTGCTCGTGGAACTGAAAGGCTGTTTGGTGGACATTCGAACATCATATTGGTGTATTTCGAAGTTTCTAAAGAGATGGCACGTAACGCCGTCAGCTTCTGGAGTTACATAGGGAAAATGGCCGACGCGGAAAGCGAGTGTCATGATTCCACTTCGCTGTTGATGTTAGTTACAACGTACGCTGGTCGCGAGAAATCGAAGTTGTGTCTGATCGTTGATGAAATGGATCGTCTGTTCCAGAACCCCGATTTGTTAACCAGCTTCCTGGGACTTCTTCGGATGTGGAAATTTCAATCGCCGAGCGTCTTCGTGGGGTTTCTTGGGGTTGGAAATTACGAATTGCTGAATCATCATATGGTGCTGCATGGCGATGATGACTCGAGCCCCTTCAACGTTTCTGAAACCATTAAAGCTGAAAATTTCTCAATTCTTCAGATGAGTGACTTCTTTGTGGAGATGAAGCTGCGTTATCCATTTACAGCCTCACTTCAGGTGGGAATCATGGACCTTTCCGGTGGGGTACCCGGTGTGTTGGGATCACTTGTTCGATTCACGACTGATGAAGGTAAATATAATCTTGAGCTCGAAGCATGGGAGGAGTGGTTCCCCGGATTGCTGTTTACCATGTACCTGAAAGAGTACAATCGAAGCTATTATCGTATTCTTCAAGATCTAAACAAACTGGAAGACATTGAGTGGTGGATTGTTGAGCAGGTGCTTAAGGGGAAGGGCAGTGGCAAGGCAAGGAATGCAGATCATTTACTCCATATGGGAGTTGTGGTAAGAATAAGAGGCACTAATGAGGTGGCCATTCTCTCACCGATGATGAAGCGATTGTGTCTCGAAGCACTACTCAAACGAGATATTCGTGAAGCATATGATGATTCGCAAATCCTCAATTGATAAACAGAGCGAATATTTAAAAAGCAGGCCGCAGACGTTGTTGTCCCAGTCTTCAGCTCCTAGACGAAAAAGCGCTTCCTTAATCATTCCGGTGGACAGGTGGTACCACGAACGTGGACCTTTTCCAGAAGGTGAGGCTGTAACTTTCCGACAAAAACTTATTTCTATCACAGGAATGACCTTCTCTGAAAGATACCAGATAACCTAACGATCGTACGTGAACAAGCACAATAGGCGAAGTGTTGCATTGCTTCTTGCATCCATCTGCTTCTGCTACGGTAGTGCTAATCTCGGAGCATCTCACCGAAGGGATTGAGGCTCTATTCCAGTTATGGTATGGTAAGTGCTGCGTTCGTTGTGGCGTTTTATAAACTATCGTGCGGCGGGTTTGTACTACTAAATCCTTAAGTAATCTTCGAAGTATTAGACTAAAAAAACGCACATTGCCGGCTAGCCATACCCATCCAAAAGTCCTTGGGACTATAACCATGATCAACCGGACAGCTGATATGTGAGTGTTCGACATTGTGTTTAATATAAACTTTGCTGCATTTTTTTTCAGTTTCTATACACATAATAAACGGTAAATCCACAGCCCAAGATTCGCAATGTGTTTTAGCCCCCAGCGCGAGACTTGTGTTAAACACGCTAAGAGAAAATCATTAAGCTGTATCAGACACGCTAAGTTTTTTTTTTACTTAGTCTTTGAATGGTCAAAAGGGGTTAGAGATGTATCCACATTTTTCCCGCCTATCCGTGCAAAGATTTACATACATGATTTTCGTATTCGGGGAAATTAGATGCTAAAGGTTTGGCGTACAGGATCCTAACCCCTATTGAGTATTAGAGGTGTGTTGTCGCGCCACACATTTCTTCCTTATTTCAGAACCCCCCTCAACAGTGTTGGCGAGTGTTTATACGTCTTTTAGAAAAAAACGTGTAATATCGCCTCAAAATACAGTTTATACGGTAACTACGGTTTATACGGTCTCAAAAGACACGGTACAGTGTACAAGTGCGCTTACAGACTGTATCTTAGAGTCTCGAATAATAGCCCGTTGGGACAAGGCAATGCCTTCAGGATGCCTTAGGTATACTGAAGTTTTTGCTACTTCAATGCTGTCGAGTCGACAGCTTCATAAATTCGGCATTGTCAGTGGCAATCTGCCAGTCGGCCGCAGACTGTGCCACAGAACTCACTTTGCAATTAGAGATCCAGAGTCAAGTCGTTCTCGTCAAATCTAAGGCTAAGGGCTAGTCGTCTCAACGGAGACTTAAAACGGTACACAAATACGTATTCTGTAATAACCTCAGTTGTGCGCTCAACCGAAGCGTATTATGTGTGTTTTGTTTTTGCAGAGCAAGCGCACCATGGGTCGACCACCAAGTGCATCTCGGACCCATTTCGTTAAAGTTTCCGGCGTGAAGGCTAATAAGAGTCACTATTTCGTTCGCTGCAAGCACTGTCTCGCTGCCCATGCAGCTCGATCAAAAGCGCGCACGCTTCAAACTCCAACCAGCCGCGAGCCGGATTCCCCTTTGCCAGACACGATGGTTGGGAGAGTCGAGAATTTCAGGAGACACCTTTTGCACTACCATGATATCGTTGAGGAAGATGGTTCATCAGGAATACGACCTTTTCCACCGCCTCCACTAACCATGACCACGCTGCATCAGCGTCGGAAAGAGGAAGATAGCGATCAACAACGCCACACCTCCCTCTCTACCGATGAGTCGCTTTCAACTACGTACCTCCGCATGTATCCCCCCCAGCAACAGCACCAGTTTGAACGCTTTTTGCTGGAGTTTCAAGTGTCACTGGCGTTACCGGACTCGTACATTGAGCATCCCGCGACAAAACGACTCTTTCAGTTTCTGGATTCCCGGTGTATTGGCTCAATACCCTCTCGACGTGTTCTTGACGGACGTATCTGGCAATTTTCGCTAGGGAATTCTTGGAGCTAAGTGCTGCCGCGTTACGCAAACTTCAGGAGTCCACTGGAGGGCGTGTTAATTTCCTCAGTGATGTTTGGCAAAATATTGCTAAGACGCATTTGCTTGGTGTGCCCCCTTTCTCTATTTGGGAAAATATATATTCAGGGCATGCACGGGGTCGGGTCTGAGCATGACGGTGTCGCAATAGCTCGACAAATGGAGGAACTAATTATAAAGATGAATCGGGAGTGGTGGAATATCGGTGCCGTCATAACGGACAACGCTGGGCAGTGCGCTCGAGCGCGTCGGATCTTGGCTCTGCGGTGGCCAAACATTCATTTCGGCAAATGCTTCGCACACGATATCAACAATCTTGTCAAGGCTGTCTTGAGAAAAACCGGTTTTTACGCAGTTGCAGACGAAGCGTTCGCTGCAGTCAAGTCCCTAAACAGCTCGACATCCAAGTGGCTACCACGAGTCAACGAGGTCATTGCCAGCACGTACGAGCATCGAGGTGACAAGCCTCTTGCATTGCTCACACTTTGCGACACCCGATGGAACTCAATGCAAGGCTATTTTGCGTCTTTACGTCGTGTCAAGACCGCGTTAAAGCAATTTGTGGCGAGGTACCAGAATTACAAAGACCTCCCACGCGCCGTTCGTGTATTCAGAAATGATACCTTTTGGAGCTCACTGGAGGATGCTGAATTGACGATACAACCCCTTTGTAATGCTTCATACATTCTTCAGCGCGATAAAAACACTCTAGTGGATGTGGTATTGTGCTACCGTGATATTTTGGACGGGTTCGTCTTAAGCCCGCACGCGGATGAACTAGTTCAGCTTGTGGAGGAACGCTGGCAAGATTGTGAACAGCCGCTATTTATGCTGGCGCTGTTCTTACACCCTTCCAACGTTCATACCGCTAGAGCCCTGCCTCGCACAGCTATTTCATCGGTCACAGCAGCATGCAACTTTGCGGTACTGTATTTCCAGCGTTTTTTTCGTGTCGCAGTCTGGGTCGACTTCGGGACCAAATGAGCCGGTGGTGTAACCGTGAGCTGTATGTCGAAGATGACGAACAGTTTTTAATTAGTGACTTTGGTGGGGATGTCGCAAGCTACTGGAAGTATGCCCGGGATTTAAGAGCAGGTACAAACCTGCCTAATCTTGCAATTGCTGTGCTGTCAATCGCTGCAAATACAGCGACTTGTGAGCGGCATTTCAGTGAGGTCGGGCGAGTTCATACAGCAACGCGAAATTGCCTCAAACCTGATAAAGCAAACAAGTCTGCAGCAATGCGCCAAGCTGTTCGGGATCGAGATCGTTTTCGTGAAGAATCAACCAAGGCTGAATGTCATGATATCGATGCTGAGCGTACGGAAGAAGATAGGGAAGGCAACAAATACGTTAGCCGCATTATCAAGCCTGACGAGCGTCCATTTCGAAGCGAAAGTTTGGCTTATGATCCCACAGCATTGGATATGTCAGTAAGTGAAGTTTCAGCTCGCTCCAACGAAACTTCAAGTCGCCATCTCTCCACGAACATCTCCTCGACTGCTCCAACCCATTACGGTGCCCGTACGCCAAGCCGTCCACCCATCCCAATTCATCCACATAATTGCTTATCGAGCATGCCGGATTCTCTAACAATGAGCGATGATCTACCTGATCAGTTGAACCCGAGCCGAAGGTTGGACTTTTCGAGTGCTGGCACACATCAGATGCAAGACGATGCGGCTTTTGTAGCACCTGTCAATGGAGAGCGAGCCAATCTCAATTCGCCACATTCTCTTGAGTACTCCAGCAATATGTTAGCCAACAATGGCATCCTTGCACATTGGCGATGGTTATATGATGAAATACCAGACAGTTTATCAATAGATGGCACCTCGGCGATCGATGGACGTCAAGCTATCGACGGCGCCGTACAAGAATCTCGCATGTTTGGAGAATATGTCGATAATGACCAACCTGACGTAGTGATGGATGGCGAGGATGACTCTATTCGACTCCGTGGACGACCCATTCCACCTTACAATGATCCACAATTTCCCCAAGAAAAAACACTAGCAGGTATGCGAGGCAAGAAGGCAACCCTGAAAGAGTTGTTTTATCTACCGAGCGTGACACCTGCGTAGCTCAAAACCGCCATCGTTTTGAGACGCTGTGTTAACTGTGCTGACGTTGGCGACTTGGCTATGCGCTACCACATCCAAGCTTCTCAGTTGGTAAGCCAGTGGCGACTCGAAACAGCATTCCAGGAAGGGTCCACATCTCCATTACATGAGTCTTTGGTTTGTAGGTATTTTCAGGACTTTGATGATAAACCTCATACAACATGCTATCGAAATAGTTAGCATGCACTCGTTCTTATTGTTATTTCAGCTAATGAGAAGCACCGTTTTGCCAAAGAGGATCGGAATTGTGAGCTCTTTTTTCCAAGTAGGCGATCACTGCTAGCGCGCCCGGGTTACGCATTCACTAACTTTGATACAGGGAGGTGTGATCGTCGTCGTGCTATTTTCACGATGAAAGCATCTACCCTTAGTACAGTAAACGAGCGGTGCTTAATTAGAAAAGCTAATATGTAATAAAACGAATACTTAAGTATTTAAGTGGGCCTGGTTGACGTTTCCTCAAATGCTGCTTGTAAACTAAGGCTCAAATTGATAAGCAAATGGTCCAAGAAAGACTGCAACGTCACAATCATCGTAGTACCACCGGCATCCCACATGCGTAACGACGGCGAGTCATATCCAGAAGAGCACGGCTCCGCAGATTTCCACGAGAGCTCCAGTGTCAACAGGTAATTGCCCGCCTTGCGGTAGCTCAGTCGAAGAAGCTTTGGTTGTCGTTCCATGTCGCAATCATAGGAAAATCATTGAATATACAGGCTTCTGTTCTTTGGCTTCTGCAAGATGATCGTCCGCCTTTTTTGGCATCTCGGTGAAAATGTCAATTAGGTGCAAATTGTGCTTGGTTTGTCAGAAGACGTCGTCTCTGGTGTGTCACATGCTCCGTAACGTCTTGACCACATGCCACACGGAGCCACGAACCCCTTT